GGGGAGCGGGGCATGCTGGGAAATGGAGTCCCGGGGGCGGGAGGGGAGCGGGGCATGCTGGGAAATGGAGTCCCAGGGGGCGTCCCAGACCCCCGGGCTCAGTGCCAGGCCCCCCGCGGCGCAGTGTCTGTCCGTGGGCCGGACCCCCAGGGCTCTCGCTCTACCCCAGGGCCGGCCCCACGCCCTGGGCTCCAGCCTCCTGCTCCGCCTGGCAGGCAGCCCCCCCCACGGGGACAGACACCCCCAGCCAGAGCCCCCCCAGCGCTGCTGCTCCCCCCTTGGGTCTCGCCCCCTTCGCTGGGCAGCCGGCGACACCCCCGCTGGCCTCCACTGGCCTCCACTGGCCCCCAGCAGCCTTCCCCGGGGGCCTGAGCTGTGCCACAAGGCACGGCTTGGGGGAAACTGAGGCACGCATGGGCCTCATAACCCTATTACCGAATGACAGGAAATGGAGTCCCGGGGAGCAGGGCAGGATGGGAAAGCCGTGGGGAGAGGAGGTGGATTGGAATGGGAGGGGGAGGGGGCAGGATGGGAAGTGATGGGCTGGGTGGTGGCTTTTCCCCAGGGCGGGGGGGGGGTGTTAATCCCCTCCCCCGAATGCCGATATCTAGCATCACTCCCCTCCGCCCCCATGGCCCAGGGGGGGAGAGCCAGGCAGGGGTGCAGGCAGGGACAGATGCATGGACGGACCCCCCCGACCCCCACATTCAGGGCTCATTGTCCCCCAGAGCGAATCGGGGCAGCTCCTGCCCGTGAACCCCTCAGCCCTGCTCCAGGTTACCTCTGGTGTAGACAGCCCCCTGCGGAGGTCCCAGTCCCAAACCCCTTCCCGGCCCTGCCCAGCCCCTCCACGTGCCCCCTGGGGCATGATGGGAAATATGGCCTGGGGGTCACCCCCCACCTCCACCCCAGCGATTGCAGTGACCAGGGGCTGCAGCAACAGGCAGGCCAGCAAGGAGGCAGGGGGGCCCCAGTATGGGATGACTCTGCCCCCAGCCCCACAACCCCCTCGCTGGGGGACCTGGGGACTCCCCCGAAGCCAAAAAGTGACACAGACACAGTGGTAACGCCCGGAGCCCGCTCGCCATGGGAACGGGCCCTTTATTGATGGGGGGCAGCTCCCCCCACATACACCAATGGACCCCATAGATCCCAGCCCCCCACACTCCCAGCCCCCCACATACCCACACCCCAGCCCCACAGATCCCCCACATACCCACACTCCAGCCCCAAACACCCCAGCCCTCCACATACCCACACTCTAAGCCCCCCCATTCACCAGCCCCACTCCGCCCTTCCTATCGTGCTCCCTCCCATATACCCCATATACCCCCTATGCCCTGACTCCAACATCCCCCAGTCCTGCTCCTATTAGGGCCGCCCCCCCCAGCTCCATACCAGCCCCTGCACCCTC